CAGGTTACCAGGAGCTACTGTGTTACCAGGTGACATGAGTTTTGGGGGGGAAGGGCAAGACTTCTGCTTTTACCAGGGCAGTTTTACTTCTATTTTATGTGAATCTTCTACAAGTGTTTATAATTGAAAAGGATTTGGTTCCCCCCACAAAGTTGAAAGAACACAATCCAATTCAGACAGACATGGGTTTGAAGCCTGGCTTTGCTAGTTATGTGGCCTTGTATAACTTCTAAGTCCCAGTCTTCTTTCTACTGGGGCTGATACTGGTTAGGGCCATCAGCATCTTTGTAGAAGTTGTTTATTATGAAACAGTGTAGTGCAAGTACCTGGTCCTTGGTAATGACTCAGAAAACAGCACTAGATTAAGGTGGGCCTGGTATCCTACCCACTGCTTGTTGGCTGTGCTGTCAGCTCTGCTACACACCCTAGGTCCTTTTTCCATGTTGGATCCTTCGTCTTGTTGGGGTAGCCTGTCTCTGCATCTCAGCTTTGATTTTAAAAGGTTACTGTTCCAGTGTGTGCTTAAATATCACTCTGAGAGCTTTTATGCACAGTCTCACTTCTTCTCACAACTTTTTCAATTCAGGTTCCCCAGCATTTAATAAGCAGGGCCTCAAAACTACAATCCAGGTCTCAAGGCAGAATTCTCATTCTTTTCACAACTGCCAACAATAAAAAAGTTGTTCTCTGTATCATAAAGCCCCAAGTATTTTTTGAGGCATTTGTGAATTTTTTATTTTGTATAATTCGGCAGGTCCAGAAATGAACCAGTTAGCCAGGAGTTGTTTCAGTCAAGATCAAGCTAAAAAAGAGGCCAAGTTGGCTTCCACAGGTCCTAGGACATCCAGAGGCACTAAAGTCAATTCACTAAGGGGATGGAGAGTGTACCTCAAGACCATTTCATGGGTTTGCAAGGTCAAAGCTAATTTCATAATAATGCCAAAGCATTAAAATTTTTTGGCATTGTGTTGTATACATCAACAGTGCAGAAGCAATGTTGGGTAAGACTACTGGTGTATTTGCAAAAATAAGAGCAGTGGTGCCAAACTGTACTAATAGTCATTGTATTCTTCACCACTGACTCAATAAAAATAATTTAAAATCCAGCTTCATTTAAGAATGACATTAATGAAGCACTAAAAGTCTTGCAAGTGCTTGTCATGCATACTAGAGTATGACAGTGGCTCAACTAAGTTGTGAGCTCAACTACCTACTTTGTTTATAGGATAGCATTTCTGCCATGGTGAACTGTGGCTATTCAGAGTGTTTAGCAAGCATTTTCTTTTTTTATGGATGCAGTAAACCTGTCCCTTAAAGGAAAACAGCTGATAACATTTGTTGCCAATGATAAAATATGAGCTTTCAAGTAAATACTGGAATTTTTAGAAAACCTGTTATCTGTGACTTGGAGCTTGACAGCTTCTCAAAACTCAAAAGATACTTCTGATGAGATAGGTGGTACGAACACTGGCGATGTGTTGCTACTGAGTTATGCAATGTGTCAACATCTGAAAGATATATATAACTCAGTGAATGCATAACTCAGTGGTCTCTAAATGACCAATGCAAGATCTTCCAGAATCATCCAAGGATTAAAAAAAAAATCCTAAATGCCAAGCTACACCAAAACCCTTGAACAAAGTACAGAAAATTCATTATTAGGTTTCAGATTCCATATTGCAACTAATCTTTAAGAAACTTCCATGTGTCAAGTTCTCTCTCTATACAGACTGAATGTAGAAAGATATGAGAATCTAGTTTAGTTAACCCTAAAGTTAGACTTGTAAAAATGTAAAATTTGTAACAGTCCTTTCACTAATGTTTTGTTATTGTTTAGGAAAACTCAGTTCTTTATTAAAATGTTGTTCATTATCCAATGTTAATATGTAATGAATGGGCTTATTGTGTTTCAGAAATCTATTGGTTTTAATGTCAACTATGGTAAAAATTGATACACAACCTACATAAACAAAACTTCTGTGGGGTTCTCAATACATTTTAAGAATGTAAAGGGGTCCCTAGATCAAAAAGTTGAACTGTGGAGCTAGAAAAGTTGTAATGCCACCTACTGGCAAGGCCTGAAATCACTGCTTCTCATGGAATCCAGCACTGAACTGTTCCCTTACCGCTATCCAAATATTTCTCGAAGAATGCGCTTCTGTGAGACTCAGGCAGAGAAAGGAACCTTGTGGGGTAGGGTGGGATTTTGAGACAGAATTCCTTTGAGGTGTAGCAATGATACTCTTCAGTGGCCTATCTTAAGAACTTAAAGCAGAAATTACTGATGTTGGCACTTGCAGTATACTTGTTGCTCAAAGATTTACTTTAGGTGTTTTATTGTTCATTTGTGACTCCAAGCTGATTATTTCTTCTTCAGTAACATCTGTTGCTATGTTCAAGGTGTTTTATTCCCTTACCAGAGGTACTGCCCAGCTGGCTCACTGAACTTCATGAAATATGTGAACATGATCCCAGGTGGTTGAATTCTATAGGGATTTATTCAGCTGTGACTTTACCTGAATCAAATGCAGAGTATCTGGGGGGAGAGATTTTCATCTTATTGTGACTATTCCTAATAGTTCCTTGTTTAAAATCATCCAATAGGACACTGAAGCCATTTGAAGCTCCCCCAACTTCCTCTTTCCAATATACTTCATTTTCTTGGTGATACTGCACGTGATATTGATTGAAAGTTCCATTTAAGAGTGGAAAACTTCTGGGGCTGGTGGTGTGACGTAGCAGGTGCAGCTGCTGAATGCAATGCCAGACACTAGCATCCATATTGGAGTCCCAGTTCAAGTCCTGACTTCTGCCTCCAGTCCAGCTTCCTGCTAATGCACCTGGGAAGGCAGCAGATGATGGCCCAATTGCTTGGACTCCTGTCCCCTGACATAGGAGATCTGGATGGAGTTCTTGGCTTTGGCGTGACCCAGATTTGGCTGTTGCAGTCATTTAGGGAGTGAGCCAGTAGATGGAAGATATTTCTCTCTCTGTCACTCTTTTTAAAGATTTATTTGAAAGAGTGTGTGGTGTGAGAGAATGAACATAAAACTTCATATTTTCCCCTTTTCATTGCAGATTTTAAATGGAGGGACTCCAGACATTCCTTCCAGTGGCCTATTACCAGGACAGGCTCAGGAGAACCCAGGTTATCCATATTCTGATAGTTCTTCTATTCTTGGTAAGTGGTATTATTCATTTCTATTGTAATGAGCTTGCAGAAAATCTGGCATAAAGTCATCTGTCAGAACTGAATTTTACAAAAGAAACTAGCTGTAGATAAATTTAAGAACAAGGTAAAGATTTGAAATTTAAATCTGAGTAGACTTTAATGGTAGAGTTTGGTGGGGATCTAAGTTTGTTCCTAGCACTTCCTAAATCTAAACATGTTTGGTTTCTGTTGAATCACTAACCAGTCTGCCTCCTCCCACAGGTGAAAATCCCCACATAGGCATAGACATGATAGACAACGACCAAGGCTCGAGTAGTCCCAGTAACGATGAAGCAGCAATGGCCGTCATCATGAGCCTCTTGGAAGCAGACGCTGGGCTGGGTGGCCCTGTTGACTTTAGCGACTTGCCATGGCCGCTGTAAACACTACATGTTGCTTTGGCAACAGCTACAGTATCAAAGTGCATTACTGGTGGAGTTTTACAGTCTGTGAAGCTTACTGGATAAGGAGAGAACAGCTTTTATGTACTGACTTCATAAAAGCCATCTCAGAGCCATTGATACAAGTCAATCTTACTATGTGTAACTACAGACAAAGTGGAACTAAGCCTGCTCCAGTGTTTCCTCCTCATTGATTATTGGGCTAGCTGTGGATAGCTTGCATTAATTGTATATTTTGGATTCTGTTTGTGTTGAATTTTTTAATCATTGTGCACAGAAGCATCATTGGTAGCTTTTATATGCAAATGGTCATTTCAGATGTATGGTGTTTTTACACTACAAAAGTCCCCCATGTGGATATTTCTTATACTAATTGTATCATAAAGCTGTTTATTCTTCCTTGTAAGAATCCTTTACTATAAATATGGGTTAAAGTATAATGTATTAGACAGTTAAATATTTTTAATAAATGTTTCCCTTGTTCTATATATACTGCTCCATTTCAAATAATAAGAAAAAAATCCAGTCCTGGAATACAGACGATTGTCAGTTCCCACAGTGGGTGTTTAAGGGTGACAATTTGTGCTGATGTCACTTGCAGGGCCTTTCTGGACAACACTTCTGGGACTTCATTTCCCAGGCTACAAGTGTAGCTCTATTGTCAACTATACTTAATTTTCAGATTGTTTGCAGATTTAATTTCTGCAAGGCCAAAGACGTTACTGCTGAGAAATTGTGAACCCTGAGTTTAGAAGTCAAGGTTGGATGTAACACACTGGCTTCTCTGCTGCTGCTTGCAGTCAGCATTCGTCAGCGTTTCATCCCTGTAACAACACCTGAGAGGCTTGCTTTGGCTCATAGTTCAAGATCAGGCGGGCCCCCCTGGTTCAGCCATCTGGTGAGGCCAGAGGACAGCAATGGCTGAGCACATGCAGACAAAGGATTGCATGAGGAGCCAGGAAGTGGAGTGACCAAGTTGGTTTTGATAACCAGGCTTCTTCTGAGACCCACCTTCTGAGCGCATGCCAGTAGACTGAATTATGCTTCTAGTCTTCTTAGTACCACTAACATAAGACCTTGGAGTCCAGAGGTTACACAACATGGTTGTGTGGCTTCAAAGATGAAGTGACCCCTGACCCAAAGCACTGAAAGGTTTCCGCTTCTGGCCGCAGAATATTTCAAATAGAATTTCCATGAACCACATGGTCGAGAGCAGCACAGCTGAAGCCTCAGCTCTAGTACAAAAGTGCCTCATCACACACATCCCAAGGTAGAGTTCCTTGAGCTACTATTTGCTTTCTGCTTATACTTACACCAACAAGGCAGGACATCTGCTAAATGTGCAACTAAAAATCTGGCCACAGAGGTTATAAAGTTGGTCAGAAACCTTAAAACAATGGAATTTTATTGATGAAAAAACTTGAGTTTACAATCATTTAGTAAATGAAGAGCAAACACTTCATTTTCCTATCCCAAACTCTCAAAAGTATTAGTAAATAAATATCTGTGAACAGATTAAGGGTAAGGCAAACTGGATCATAAACCACCTCTGCTGTTCACTTCTTGCATGTGACTCACTCTGAAAGGGTGAAATGGCACTGGAGAAAAGTGAACAGATAAGACGTGGGCACTGACTCATCCTAATCACCCAAATAAGCCCAAGATAAATACTCATTTTTTGCTCATCATGGGCAGCAAACTATACACATCTTACTGAAGGAATACTTTGATAGAAGCACTTATTTAAGTTATATTGTGCATCACAACTAGAAAATGGCTTGAACAGTTCCATTTGACCACCATTTATAAAGTGCAACTATATAATATTCTGCATTTTATCTGGGGTATAACAAATACCAATCTGAAAAGACTGAAAGTACCCCAGCTGCCAATTTTGACCACTTCTGAAAAGACCTAGATGTGTGAAAAAGGACTGTCCCCATACAAAGAACCAATTTCACAAACCTACTGGTAAACAAAACATTTATGTAACTGGAACCTCAAGATGCTAGAGTTGTACTCACTTAAGAAAACCATTCAGCTACCTTTGGTCTTTGAAAAAGCCTACACTGCAATATGCTAAACGTTATGTGCATCTTACAATGAAGAAGAGTGGCCTTGCAGTGCAGAATGAGGAGAGTACAGCGTCACTGTGAAGAGTAGCATGCTATGGTTTCATGGAACATCAGCATCACAGCATTGGATTCTGTGCATCAGGATCGAGGTCATTGCTGCCCGACGGGGGATGCATAGGGAGAATATCCAGCTCATCCACTTGGGGAGTTGGGTGCATGACTACCAGCTGGTCCTGGGGAATGTCTGCAGCAGCTGCTGCCAGGTTAGTGATAGATTTGCTCTTTACACACTGAAAGTCTACATGCCGACTCTTTCCTTCTTCCTTCTCCCATGACATTCGGATAAAGGGTCTTTGGACATAGTTGTAAATCACTTCTGGGCGACCTCCAGGCCTTTTCTTTACTTTTTCTTTGTAGGTAGGGTAACCTGAGAAAAGAAAAGTTTTAAAAACTTAGGATCCCTCACCCAACTTAGCCACTGAAAGCTTTTCTGCTACAGATCCTGAACACTCACAAATGAAAACAAAGAAGGAAAACCAACATTCTATCCACTTAGTCATGAGTTCAAGAGCCAGGAACTAAAATCCTGATGTCATTCACAAAACCTGCCACCTTCTCATTCACTCAGCACACCAACCACCAAAAAACATGCTTAAAATGGAGGTATGAAGGGGATGGGGCCCCAGTGCAGTGATATATGACCTACAGAGATCCTGCACTCCAGCTGTGTATCCGTAATATCCCCAAACCATTCTCTTCACAGAACGATCTGGCCTAAATGCCTAACCACAGTAGCTTTCTCATTTCCTTAAACCTGAGTCTCATCACCATCATATTGCTCTGAGTATTTTGTTGTTGTTAAATGTCAAAGAGTTATTCAGTTCTTCAGGTGGTTCCAGATAATTCTGTACCTGGGTCAGTAAGGTTAATATAGTAACCTGTATCACTTCAATATTACTATTCTCAACAACAAAAGTAGCCATCCATGATTAATTATACATTCTCCTATTGGATCTTAATCGCTGAAAAATAGCAACTGGTAAGGACGATCTTAGTTTTGGAAACATTCCAATTAATTGTTTTTCCATAGATTTGCCAGTTCTCAGAAACTAATCACAAGCGCCTGCCCTCCTTTCTACAAGCTAGAATTTCTAGTCACTCTGCCCATGTAAAGTGACAAATACATAAATGAGCAAGAATACACCCCAAGAGTCAGCACTGTGACACAGATTAAGCCACCACCTGCATCCCCTATGGGCACCAGTTTAAGTCCTAGTGCTCCACTTCCAATCCAGCTTCCTGCTAATGCACCTGGGAAAACAGCAGAAGATGACCCAAGTATTCAAGCCCCTGCCACCCACGTAGGAGACCTGGATGGAGCCCCTGGTTCCTGGCTTCGGCCTGGTTGTAGTCATTAGGGGAATGAATTAGCTGACAGAAGATCTCTCTCCTCCCCCCACCCACCTTCCCGCTTTCCCTAACTCTGCCTTCCAAATAAAATAAATGTTTTTTAAAATAATATGTTCCAATAAAATTGTATTAAAAAACATGTGTTTTTTTCTTGGGGGGGGGGGTTTGGCTTATGTGCCAACTTAGACCATTGTTACTATCAGAAAAAAAAAAACAGGCCTCACATAGTAAGGGTTCAATTAATGATAAATGTATAAGGATGTATGCAGGTATTACTGACAGTAGTATATTTAGCCCTGTAGGAGTGTGGGGGATGCACAAGGCTAAAAGAATCTTGTGAAGACCTATAGAATGCCTTCTTTGCTTCCTATGTTAGTCAATCTACCAACTGCATTCAGGGCAGCACCAGCGATCAGAAAGGTCTCCATCTCTAATTCTCTTGTCCTTGATTACTCCTGGACAATGAGAAAGTCTTTAAAATTCCCATTTCATTCATTGTATTTCCATCCCAATTTTTCCTCCACACAGAATCACCATCCTACACAAATGTGATCATGTGTATCCTAGCAGAAAACTATCACTGGCTTCCCCATACTTCAAGAGAAATTCTGTACTCCTTAAATAGCATATGAGGTTTTTTAAAAACCTATTTTCGATCTACTTAACCTCATCTGTCCTGCTACACTCCCTCTAACCCTAGAACTCTCAAATATACTGGCCATGTTAATCTTTCTCTAAATATGCCTAGGTGCGTTCAGACATACTGCTGCCTTGCTTCCTCTCACACCTTGCACTCCTACAGCTCCAACCTCTTTTTTCCTCCCTTAATGTTTTATATTAAGGCTCCCCACCGAGTAAATAATTTGCTCCTCATGTTCCATAGCGTTTCCACTATGCCATTAAATTGTAACAATACCTATGTCATTAAACTGTAATTAATTTTTTACATGTCTGTCTCACCTAAACAGTGGGTTCCTACATGGCAAAGGCAGTGTCTCTGTTTCCCTGGTACCCAGCGCAGTGCCTGATAATACTGCAGGCAGTAGACAAATACCTGAGCAAATTGTAAATTATCAGGACATAGCAGTTTCAAATGATACCCACTTCCTGCATAGCCACCTTATTGAGGAGGACACTTTTTCTCCTTTAAAAAAAAAAAATCACGGCCGGCGCCGTGGCTCAATAGGCTAATCCTCCGCCTTGTGGCACCGGCACACAGGGTTCTAGTCCCGGTCGGGGCGCCGGATTCTGTCCCGGTTGCCCCTCTTCCAGGCCAGCTCTCTGCTGTGGCCAGGGAGTGCAGTGGAGGATGGCCCAAGTGCTTGGGCCCTGCACCCGCATGGGAGACCAGGAAAAGCACCTGGCTCCTGGCTTCGGATCAGCACAATGCGCCGGCCGCGGTGGCCGTTGGAGGGTGAACCAACGGCAAAAGGAAGACAAGACCTTTCTCTCTGTCTGTCTCTCTCACTGTCCACTCTGCCTGTAAAAAAAAAAAAAAAAAAGGCAAATAAATCTTTAAAAAAAATCAACTTTGTGCCTGGCTTGCAGATTCACCCATCTATTTACTCAGCAAGCAATGATTTAGCAGCTCCTGCATCAAAGATGTATACACCAAGGTGCTGCCTTAAGGCTTTTATAATCTACTGGAGGTGATAAAATTTGTCCATCAAAAGAACATCCCAAATAGCCAATTACACACCTAAGGGAAAATGTGAAGACAGTGGTGTAGGTATAAGAATTCAGAAAAAGAATGAAATTTTAAAGGGCTAAACTTAAACTTACAGCTTTGTTCAAAGTCTTAAAAAATAACTTTCCCCTGAACTCAGGACAAGGCTTCGAATGTTAGGAATAAGGCCGTATTAGCAAACCCCTGCAGTCCTAAACTGCCTTTGAAACTCTTAGAATTTTTTAAGATTTTATTTATTTATTTGAAAGGTAGAGTTACAGACAGTGAGAGGGAGTGACAGAAAGGTCTTCCGTCTGCTGGTTCACTCCCCCAAATGGCAGCAATGGCTGGAGCTGAGCCAATCCGAAGCCAGGAGCTTCTTCCAGTCTCCCACACGGATGCAGGGGCCCAAGGACTTGAGCCATCTTCTACTGCTTTCACAGGCCATGGCAGAGAGCTGGATTGGAAGAGATGCAGCTGGGACTAGAACCGGTGTGCATATTGGATGCTGGCGCCGCAGGCATAAGATTAACCTACTGCGCCACAGCGCCGGCCCCAGAAACTGTTAGAATTTTTTAATTAAAGGCTTAATTCAACTCTTCTCTAATGATTAAGTGTGTAAAGGCCACATCCTTCATTATAAGATTAAGCAGTGCCTTTGTGGGGTATTATTTTAACACCATAAGTATGTTCAACTTCCCATTAAATATTACCTAACAGTTTTTAAATACTAGTTGAAAAATCTTTCCTGAGTCAGTAGTTTCATTAGCGAATTGCAAAATCATCATTTTCTAATTCTGTCATTCCTTTTACATTCATTAGCTAGTATCCTTCAGTAGAGTTTTTCCCTTTATCAAATGAGGCCATTTCATTATTCAAAATTATTTGTATTTGTAGGGGCTGGCACTGTGGCGTAGCCTGAAGTGTCGGCATCCCATATGGGCACCAGTTCAAGTCCCAGCTGCTCCACTTACGATCCAGCTCTCTGCTATGGCCTGGGAAAGCAGTAGAAGATGGCCGAAGACCTTGGGCCCCTGCACCCACATGGGAGACCTGGAAGAAGCTCCTGGCTCCTGGCTTCGGATCAGCGCAGCTCCGGCCATTGCAGCCAACTGGGGAGTGAACCAGCAGATGGAAGACCTCTCTCTCTCTCTCTGCCTCTCCTTCTTTCTCTGTGTAACTTTGACTTTCAAATAAATAAATAATTTTTTAAAAGATTTATTTATTTAAGAGGAAGAAACCTATTAAAGTTTCATGGGAACAAATAGCAGAACCAGGACTTGAATCATGTCTCCAATATTTGAGTCTCAATAGTTTTGAAATATTAACTGAATATGCCTTAAAAGACGCAGCATGCAAACTTACCTGCCTGTCTACTAGAAGCTTAGGTAAATTGGTCTTGACTGTGGCAGGGCAATATATAACCAGACTTGTCTACTGTTCCTTCAATAACTGCTTCTAGATTCTGAACCATTCTTTTCTTTTCCTAGCTAATATGTAGACACTGAGCCACAGTCTTCCATCAAATCTAACCTTTTCCTTTTAAAAACTGTAAAATAGAATCCTAAATCCTGGTAGAAGCTATCTCGTTACTGATACTTCAATCAACAGAGAAGACTTAAATTAAGCTTCTAAATATAACTTATAGTTTCTAGTAATTAGAGAAGAGAGGAGAAAACTGAAGGACATCACCGAGAAGTAGGATACATCCAGAAGCAGGGCCTTCTACAGGAGAACTGGCCCAGACTCTGCAACACTGACGGGCACAAATCAGACTGTTCCAGATTAGGCAATCTGATAAAACAAGCATTTAGTTGCACTACTTCCCACCCAGCTCCCTGCTCATATGCCTGGGAAAGCAGTGAAAGATGGCCCAAGTCACTGGGCCTCTGCTACCCATGTGGAAGACCTGGATGAAGCTCCTGCCTTTGGCGTGGCTCAGCCCTGGCCATTGTGGCCATTTGGGGAGTGAACCAAGGGATGGAGGCTCTATCTCTCTAACTCTGCCTTGTAAATAAATAAATAAACCTTAATTAAAAAAGACATTTGGGGGAACCATTGGGAAGTTTTAATGAAGATTAATACTAAGAAATTTTCCTTAATTTTACTGGGTGAAATGATTTTTAAAGTAAGACAAATAGGTCCTTATGATTATATGAAAATTCATTTAATTGTTTAGCTCGATGCTTAAAGTAGTGCTAGTATTCCCTTATGACAGAGATAGAAGTCCTTTAGTAGATAACTTATAGGTAGCTTTTAGATAAACCTATTCACTATTTGAGAACCCTTCTATGCCAGTTACTAGGCCACATGTTAGGTATGTAATATCTTACCTGACTTCTCTCAAATTTATTTTGGGTAGCTGTGTCATCGAAGTTCCAAGAAGGATGAATAATAGTATCTATCTATCAAACACTCAAAATTAAGGTTGGAAGGAGGTGATTTCTAATATATCTCATTTCATTTTCACGACCATCCTCTAGAATATACAGAATATTCTTCAGACTATCCATGTAAAGAAACTGCTGCTCAGAAAGATTTATCTTAAGACACCTGGCCATGACATTCTCTACCATGATCTGCAGCACCCTCTATCTTCTCAATCTACTCTACTGCTCCTATCAACGTTCATGTATCTCTTCAAATCGCATCACTTGCCATACCGGTCTTATTTGTGCTTTCTGTACCTCAAATATACTAAGCTCATTCCTATCCCAATACCTCTGTAGGGCCTGTTTTCTTTGTCTAGAATCATCCTTGTCATCAGACCTCAGCTCAAATGTTTCCTCCTCAGAAAGGCCTTCCTTGTCTTTCCAATCTAAAGTGGCTTCAATTGCCTGCTCTCTAGTTCTGAGACCAAGTAGCTGAATCACTTTGTTTGCGAAGTGATGAACCAGAACACACACAGGTGAAGCTAAGGTGTCAGCAATTCCTCCATTTTTTAAGCCCAAAATCCTCCTTTGGCTGCAAACATCTTGTTTGTGGTCATTCTTCTCATATATTTCAATAGCCCACTACTGTGCTCTCCAGCAGGCCATCCAGGTCAGTAATCAACATTATTATCTTCATTATCACTCTCACAAACATTCACTGGGAACTTAATATGAACCAACTACTATTGTGTTTTTCTTCATATATTGACTCGTTCTATCCTCACAATAACCGTATCAAAATACTTATTAATGCTACCATTTTAGATGAAGTAACTAAGGTACAGAGTTTAACTGCCTTGGCCAAGTTCATACAGTTATCAATTCATAGGATTTGAACATAAGCAATCTGGCTATAGAGCCTTTCACTTTATAATATGCCATGTTTTATATGGAAAAAAAGGTATTTTGTTTTGAATAGGGGTATTTTAAAAACAAATATCCAACAAAGCATATGGAAAATTCGTTTATAACATAAAGTAGCTATCTGAAGAGTGTGTGCACTTAGATAAGATGAAAGAAGTTTGGCAATTTTCACTTAACTCAAACATACTAACTATTATCATATGTTAAGATTCTTGATTAGTATATGCTACTAGTCCTGCCTCTATGGGAATTTTTGGAAAAGTATTTTTTAATTACATTTGGCTTCCATGATCATCATTAGGCAAAGAGCACTGCCAAATTTATGGGAACGTACACACATGCATACCCACAGAAACTACATGAACTTTGTCAAAATGAATTAGGGTAAGTTGCAGCAGAAAAGACTAATTTATTTCCCATATCACTATGAAAACTCATAGAATAAGTAATTTCTAACGGTATCTGTCTTCTCAGATAAATGTAGTTGATTTCTGTCATTTATGTCTTCTGCATAAATATTCAATCACCTGTCAGATTTTTCTCAAAGTATTCAACTATATTCTGAATAGGATCCAATTGTTTAACCTTGTTTTTTCAAATGAAAATTAATAGACAATAACAAAAATACCTTACCTTCTATTCCCAATCTAATCTTCTTAAGACCCCTCTCCTTCAACACTGATTTGGCCACATCTCTGTTTTCAATATACTTGAAAAATCTATATAATTTTGTGCTATAAATAACTGGGGAAAAAGAGACAAAAGTGTTTTCATTTTAATATCAAAGTACTTATTGAGAGGAACTTAAGTTTAAGTTGATTATCAAAGGGACCTGATAGCCCTAAAAGCCCAAATAATGGATGCAGTAATGCCAAAGGGTAACTAGCCAACATGACAGGACAATATTCAGTGCAGTTAATTTAAAAGCAAATGTCTACTGAAGTGGAAACAAGAAAAGCTTTGATAACCAATTGGGTAACCCAATCCATAGGAAGAATCTCCTTTTGAAAGATATGTCACACACACGCTTACTGCAATGGGATCTGTCTGAAGTTTCAAATAAGAAAACAAAAAAAAAGAAAAACAAAAAACCAATATTACATCATTATTGAGCAGGCAAAGTAAAGGACTTCACTAAGATGCCTGTAAGGCCTACTCTGGACAGGGGGAAAAAACTGCCTTTTCAAAGAATACAAAACAGATACATTTTTATAGTTCATGGATTGAGCGCTATTAATAAATCCCCCAAAGCCAAAGACCCACCCACACACTGTTTTCCATTCAGGCGAACAGCCCCATTTAATAATGATGTTAAAAAAAAAAAAAAAAAAAGGCAGATTCGAGCATGTTCTGCCTAGGTTAGTCCGTTTAGAGCAAACTGGCTTTGTAAAGGACAGACATTCCACTGACAACATGTTGAGTCTTCCAAATGTGCTGGGAACTTCGGGGAGTTAGACTGATGGACCTTCCTCGCCTTCTCTCTTTCAGGTGAAGTTATCTCCCTTAAAAGGTGAACTGCAAAGGTTTTTTTGAAAAAAGAAAAACATACTCATAAACCAACCAAATATGCTGGTTTATGAGCCAATGAAAGGAAAATACATATACAAATTCTATTCATGGAGTAAATCTGTGATTACCAAATCTTTTAAGATTACTGATATTTTAAGACGAAGTTTTTTTTTTTGACATTTCAGAAAGAATAGTGTCACAGAGTTACATTTTAGAAAAACTAGGCTGACAAGGCTATCTCTAGCTCCTCAAACAAATCTTCCTTAGGTTGGACCACCCTGGCACAAAATGAAACATAGACAAATTAAATATCATTTTTAAGTTCTTTTAAGCTTTTAAAAACCATACATATAAGAATACAAAATAAAAAAAGTTGAAATGTAAAGTTCAGCAATAGAAAAAAAAAAGAGCCAGATCCATTATAATTCCTTTATCACTACGATGTCATTTCTGTATCCTACCTTTGTCTCTATTCTCTTGGAGGGAAACCTTTTAAAAATTAAAGTATAAATTATAAGCTTGTTTATCCCTTTTTCATAATAAAACCACTGCCAGCAAGGAGCCTAAGGATGAGCAAACAGCAACAGAAATGCCTGTTACTAAAACTATCCACAAAAGAATCACAACACTAATTTAAGTACCTCATGCAAAGGAAATATCTCAGTATAAACTCTGAAAAATGCTACCATACCTTAATATTAATAATTAATTACCTTAATATTAATCTTTTGAAAATATTTTTTCAAAGTCAGAAAGAATACTATTTGTGGTTGGCTCTATTTTATTCAATTTTTGAATAGGATATAAAAAATGAAAAAAATCAGACATTAAAGATTTTTGGTACTTTCTATATTACTGTATTTTTTACTTAAACTCTAATCCTTCCTAAACCAACAGACTGGAACACAAAACAGGAAGTTAGCTATTTTACTCAGTCCCTTGAGCCATTCTTTCAACTCTTCTTCTCCATCTATGAAACTGGCCAAGAATACTAATATTGGGTTTATCAAGCAAAAATGTAAGATAGATTTTTTAACAAATAAGTTAAAAGAATAATCACAAAAGTGTGGAAGTGGATTAAGAAAAATATTAGACATTGCTGCTCAAGAAATGCTGGTTTTTTTTCCCAGAAATATCTAAAAGAACTACAGTTCCACAAAACTTTCTGAAAGACCATTGTGTCTTCCTGGAACACATACAGTATTATGAAAGAACATCTTAGAGTTATCCCACACTGACAGTCGACAAAGAGCAAACCACCTCTGCGTGTGGAAGGGTGGGCACATTTTTTTCTGTACAGGGACAGACAAGAAATACTTTGGGCTTTGAGAGCCATGCAGTCTCTGTTGCAACTACTCAACTCTGCCATAATAGCAGGAAAGCAGCCATTGGCAATACATCAAATTTATAAACACAAGAGGTAGGCTAGATGTGACCCTAAAGCCGTAGTTTGCTGCTCCCTAGTGCATGGAAAGAGTTCAGTGTGTGTGTGTGTGTGTGTGTGTGTGTGTGTTTTATAAACAAACCCTATCCTTTGATTAATATGATAAAAGATGAACAATCTGATGATTCTGGAGAGAAGAAACATGCCACAATACTCACTTTGTGAATATTCTTCTCCCATCTGTGGTGGATACTCTTCATCCCAATCAACCACATCATCATCTGTAAGCACCACTATGTGGCATTCTCTTTCACCACTCTGGGCACTAGCTACCATAAGAGGGAGGATCATTTCTTCCAGATAAAATTCAAATTGTCTCCGAGCACCATCATTTGATAACTCATGCATTAGGGCACCTGAAATGAAACCCACAAAAATATCTCGATTTTTTTGGATGATTGATAAGAAAAACACAACACCACATTAGTTCAGCATCTATTTTGGGACCCTACAAACAATATAATGGTTATTATTTAGTCACCAAAACTAAAACGAGTTCTTAAAGAATTGTAGAATATGACAGCAATAAAGGACAATTTAAAGACAACCAACACAAGCCCCCTTAATTCATACATCATGAAGTCATTTGCTCAAGGTTACAAAACTAATTTGCAAAATCAAAATTAATACCTCATTTCCACCCAGGGTACTTTTCATTATGTTATCTTCCATCAGAACATGGAATTATGTCTTAAAGTATATCTTAAATATACATTTCAGATTAGCCATATAACTAAAATAGTTTCCCATATTCCACTCCTACATTCTCCCTCTCAGAAAGCTATTCACAAACAGTACTAATATTTCAGTGTAGCAAGAGAGTTGAGAGGAGAAGGATCAACAGGAATAATGCAGGCAAAAGGCCAAGCAAAATATAACATGATTAGGAATTCTATAGCAGACTTGAACATGGAAGTGAGAAAGGTGACTGATTTCTCTCGTTAAGTGAATGTCAACTTCCTAAGTACACAGTCACAAACTCACCTGAACTGACCTAATCTTATTTTCTTTTATTCTTATTTCTTAGCAATGTCCTATCTCCTACCTAAGAGTCCACTATCTTAGGTGTAACTACTACCGCATCACCCTGGAAGCAGATAAAGCAATTCTGTGGGCGAGTGAGGAAGGGGACAGGGGAAAGGAGACAGAGAAAGAGACTGTGTGTGTGTGTATAGGAATTGGCAGTGGGTTAAAGAAGGGCACTAGATTTCAAATCCACAATCTTCTAAAGGAAAGCTTTTACCTTCAACATGTTATCTCTATAATTATATATAATAAATGATAACTAATGATTAATCTGATTATTAATTAGCCATGTCTCTCTCTCTGCCAGCTATTCCATTATTTTTTATAAAATCCCTTTACAGCCAAATTTATAGATGTTTCAACATAGTCTTTCCCCTCCTAACTTCTGGACCAATTCCAATGTGGCTTCTACTCTCACTACTCTATACAATTGCTCTCACAATGGTCTCCAAATGGCTTTTATATTGTTCTCCAAGTGGCTTTTATATTGTTAAAGGAAATAAACACCTTTGGTCCCAATCTTTTTTTCTTCAAAGACTTATTTATTGAAAGGCAGAATTACAGAAAATGAGGGATACACACACACACACACACACAGAGAGAAAGAGAGAGAGAAAAGCTAGGAGCTTCTTCCAAGTCTCCGACATGAGTGGCAGGGGCCAATATCTCAGGCAGCGGCTTAACCCGCTACGGCACACGGCGCACCCCTTTTAGTCCCAAGCTTACTTGACCTCTCAGTTGAATCTCTTAGACTATACTGTTCCCACTTTCTTGAAATATTCTCATCCCTAAAAATCTAATTTGTTTATTCCTGGTTTACTTTCTCCTCTCTGCTATTCTTCTCAGTCACCTTTACCAACTCTTTTCCCTATTTAGTATTTAGTGCTCACTAAATACTGATATTTCTCAGGACAATTTCATATTCTTTTCCTCTAGCATTCTATGCTGACAATTCTCAAATTTATTTATCTTAATTCTGTCTTCTATATTTGAAATGTATTATAAGCAACTGACTTCTGGAAATATCCACCCAGATACTTCCTCACAGAGACCTCAAACTCAGATATTCAAAATTAAACTTACTTATGGCTCTTTCCCTGCAATGTTTTCAATGTTATCATCCACTCAGGTTCTCAGAATACGATCAAACACATAATAGACACTTAAATTTATTTGCAGAATAAATGAACAAATCCTTGCTTTCTCCTTCACATCCTAATCCAAATCATTCCTCAAGTCCTTTTAAACATATCTTGCATTTAAGGTTTTCTTACTCTGGCAGATTACATATTTCAAAGTTGCCTGCAAACTCTCTCGTGCTATATGCTTTCTGCTTTGACATTTCCTCCTGAAAGGTAGGGCCTAATTTCCCTCCCCTTTAACATAGGCTGGTCATACAGACTGGCCCATTACCATGAGAGCATGGCCACATCAGGAAGAAACTTACAGGTTCTGGTCTCTGGAATGCCTGCTCTCCAAATGCTCCCTTCCAAATGCTCCCTCCCTAAACAGCCTCTAGGATTTGAGAAGCCCAAGTCACAATGAAAGGTCACATGTAGGTATTCTGACTGGCATTTCTGGCTGAGCCTAGCCTCTGAGTTATCCCAGCCCACATACAAGGCATGTGAGTGAAGAAGTCTTCATTTAGCCTTTAGCATCACCCCAGCCCTTCAATTCTTCCTTGATGAGGCCTCAGACAGTGTGAAGCAGCCATAATCCACTTCTGCTGTGCCTTGTTCAAATAACTGATTCACAGAATCAACGAGAATAAAATGTTTGTACTTCATGGTACTAAGTTTAGAATGGTTTATTATATTGCAAAAGTTAACCAGACACATTCTGTTCTGAACTCTCATCCAAACTATAACAAAAGCATTTTAATTATATTCTCCCAACATTGCTTTTGCTTCCTGTAATCCATCTTCCCCCACAGCAATCAAATCTAATTGTCTCTGCTAACTTAAACCATTCATGACTTGTACTACTTAGAATAAAAGTCCCAAATCCTCAACATGATCCATACAGTCTATAATACAAAAAAGGTTATAAATCAGTGTGTACAATAATTTAAGGAAATATTTTCGTTAAATAAGGCTCCTACATTTCTGATCTCCATGAAGTTCCCTCAACTACAATTAATGACAATCTTACACTTTCAGTTAAAGCCTTCTTCTCTCTTTCCCACCCCACATTGAAGCAACAAGCAAATGGTGACAATTCTAGTAGCCAATATATCCAGAATCTGACTTTCTCACAACTTCCATCCTGATCCAAGCCACTACTACCTCTTACCTGGAGTTTCACAATTACATCTTCACTTCTACCTCAATTCTCCTTTTGGTTCATTTTTTTCAAAAGATTTATTCATTTATTTGAAAGAGTTACAGAGAAGGAGAGGCAGAGAGAGAGAGGCAGAGAGAGAGAGAGAGAGAGATCTTCCATCTGCTGGTTCACTCCCCAAATGGCCACAATGGCCAGAGCTGCACCAATCCAAAGCCAAGAGCCAGGAGCTTCTTTCATGTGGGTGCAGGGCCCCAAGCACTTGGACCATCTTCCATTGCTTTCTCAGGTGCATTATCAGGGAGCTGGATCAGAAGTGGAGCAGCTGGGACTTGAACCGGCACCCATATGTGATGCCAACACCAAAGGCAGCAGCTTTACCCACTATGCCCCCTTGGTTCATTCTTAAACAGTCAAGAGTGATTCTTTTACACCCTAAGTCAGAACAGGACTACAACAATAAGCAACTCTACACTTAATAGTGTAAAAATAGTATCCCCATGAAATGGCATAAGGTGGCAGCCTTACAGATCAATTCACTTATTTGTTCAAAACTATTCAAATGACTTCTCAGAGTCAAAAGCCAAAAAATAGATGAACTAGTACTTTGTTGCTTCTCATCTCATCTCGAACAGTACTTAGTGTAGAATGGATAGTCATTACATATTTGTTCAGTTATGTTTCTTCCTCACCCTCTAGCCTTATTCTTCATCACTTACACTCTATCCTTCAGTTTTAGCCACACTGTTTCCTTCTTCAGTTCTTCATGCCATGTTCCTCCCCACTTGAGAGCGTCTGCAAACACTATCTTTGCATAGTTAGCTTTCCCTTCTCGTTGCTTTTCCTTCAGTTTTACTATCACTAACATAGATAATTATTCATCATAGTCACTTTGAAATATACTGCTCACAACATCTAATTTCTCCACTGCATTTTTCACAACTTTATTTGTTGAGTGCTTGTCTTTCCCATTGGACACCATAAACTATGGAAAATGTCTGTCTAGTTCATCTCTATAAGGAACACATAAAAAGCTTGATAAGAACAGAGGAAAAAGAAATGACAAGTCAAATGGTAGACTAGAAATGCATGACTAGTACTCAGGAGTTAGCAAATACAGAGGTAGCAATCATAGTGTAAAGGTAATTTTGAAGCCACAGTGATGAAGGACAACACTGAGGTGTTCCTTAAGTGTAGATATGCAAAAAAGAGATAAAGGAAAGAGAAGGTAACAGTAGAGAACAAGATGTTTACAATTTTTAAGATTTAAAAAATATATATATTTGAAAGGCAGAGACGGAGGGAGGGAGAGAGACAGAGAGGGAGGGAGAGAGATCTTCTACCTGCTGGTTCACTATCTAAATGCCTGCAACAGCTAGGGCTGGGTTAGACTGAAGCCAGGAACCATATCTCAAATACTGTTTTTGAGAATTATTTGTTTCTTCCAGAGTGCTCAGGATATTACAAGATAGTTATCAAAAATAAATTTTTGGATGCTGTGATCTGAGTAATGAAACACTTGACCAAAATCAGGATCCTTAGCAAGGAGATAAAGACTGATAACAAATGATAAAGGAGCCAGTCAAGGAAGAAAGTCTAAGAGTTCATAAAAAAATAAATTATTAAAGTTGGAAAACTGCACAGAGATTATATCAAGAGCTCAGTGCACTTCCATAATAATTTTCATGGTACTAGAATGCTTTATAATTCAACTAAATATTTGAAGTCTAACTAGGTAAACTGCGTAGTTCAGACTTTTCATTACAATATTCGTAATTCTATAAACCACTCACACATAAAACATAATACTTACTGAGATCTCTACATTTAATAGTACTATATTCAAAAGAGATACAAAGATAATCGCATGCTTCTCTCAGTTCAGGAATGGATATGCCATCAGGACAACGGATTATTCCTGTTTTATAGTAATCCTAAATGAATAAACAAATGTAAAAAATGCATAAAATATTTAAGTATAAGGTAGCCAAAACATTATTAAGGTTGAATTGGTAATACTTTCAAACATAGTGAAGCTTTGACATTTCAGAATTATGAAATTTTTAAGTTAGGTGGGATCTCTGTTCACCTAAGAACTTTTTCATTTTACCTATAATGATAATTCAGGCCCAAAAAGATTCACTGATTTAACCAGTCACACAATTTAACAGCAGATATAAGACTAGAATACAGGTCCTTCCTATTACCTTGTACATCTCATCTGTTACATCATACCACATTCATATATATCTTCATCTTACAAGTCATTTTTCTAACCATTTACCATAAATTTATAAATTTTTAACTAACTGTTATTCTCCAAATTACTTAAATATTACCTAATGAATTTAACTTCTACAAAATTTAAGATTTTTAGTAAATAACTGCACAGTTGTATCCAAGTATTAAGAGATGTCAAATAAGATGCACCAATGGATATTCTTCTAAACAAAATCATTTCTTGTTTCCATATTACAAGCAGTCAATACTAATTATTTCCAAAATCTACTTAAAAAGTGGTTAGATTGACCCCAGAATTACAAATAAGTCACTCCACAGATGAGTTACAAAAATTGTCAACTCCAAAGAGGATCAAACATTAGTATGGGCAGCTGAAAATGTACTTCCCCCCAGAATTAAGACTTGTTTCAAGTTTCTCAGAAATTTAGAAGCACAGTAACCAGAAACACTGTTTCAAAGGTTACTGCATCAACAGAAGCAAATCAAGTTTTGGTAGTTGTCCAAGTACTAACCTGACCAAAAAAAAATTTTTTTAAAGATTTATTGATTTGAAAGCCAGAGTTACAAAGAGGTGGGGAGGGGGAGAAAGAGATTTTCCATCTGCTGGTTCACTCCCCAAATGGCTGCAATGGCTGGAACTGGGCCGATCTGAAGCCAGGAGCTTCATCTGGGTTTCCCACGTGGGTGCAGGGGCCCAATTACTTGGGCCATTTTCAGCTGCTTTCTCAGGTACATTAGCAGTGAGCTGAATCAGAAGTGGAGCAGCTGACACCAAAACCAGTGCCTATGGAGGGTGCCAGCACCACAGGCGGCTGCTTTACCCACTGTGCCACAGCTCTGGCCCCAGACCAAAAATTAACTACTTTTCCCCACCTATCTTCTATATCAGGATATGCTCCTTCTTTAATATCACCAAAACTATTTAAGGAAACCACATATCTTCAGAATGTGGCACACACAAAGTGCCACACCAGAAATCCAATCTTTATCACTAACTGCAAACTACATGTAGGGACAATGAAATACTACTTCAAATATTCCTTGAAACAAAGCGTTAAAAACTCAAAGTTTGAAATACAGATGACAACAAATACATTTTGGAGATGATTTTAAAATATAAACTTTCATACTGTTGGTTATAGGCAATAAAATATTAAAATTCAAATAATCACATTCATTCTCATGTAGCAAAAATGACTGACTTACCATATTTAACAGAATTAAGAAGGAAGGAGTAATATGACTCCAGAAATATTACTACTAAGTATCTGAAAGAGATGAATTTTCCTATCATTTTTTCTCAAGGTCATAAAATTTGCTTATATCATTTCTTTATGTGCTAAAATAAAAATGAATTAAATGGTATTAAAAGGAAAATAATATCTTACATACCTCCAAAGAGATATTTAAGTAGAACTTTGCTTCTAATTCAAGAACCTACCAAGCAGGGGGTCTTACAACTAAATGAATATATGCAAAAATTACTCACCAGGATAGCTCGAAACACAGTGGAACCAATTCCCTCTGCTACCTCATACTCTCCCTTCTCATTGGGACGTGTAAAATTATGTTCTCGGCCAGATCCAAACATCCTATGATAACAAAAAATTAAGAAATACATCAATAAAATACTTCCTTCAAAAGGTAAAATCAATTTCCTGCACAAAATAAAAAGGAATTATAATTTAAGCACTAAAAGTTATGTTAAATTGAGAATTTTTATCAAATTTTTTCTGGCAAACATTATAAATGAAGGAGTATAAAAATTTCTTTTGATAGGAAGGAACAGTCGTACAGATTCCCTGAAACAATAATAAAATCCAACTCAGAAAACAAACACCTTCTTGGCCGGCGCCGCGGCTCACTAGGCTAATCCTCCACCTAGCGGCGCCGGCACACCGGGTTCTAGTCCCGGTCGGGGCACCGGATTCTGTCCCGGTTGCCCCTCTTCCAGGCCAGCTCTCTGCTGTGGCCAGGGAGTGCAGTGGAGGATGGCCCAGGTGCTTGGGCCCTGCACCCCATGGGAGACAAGGAAAAGCACCTGGCTCCTGCCATCGGATCAGCGCGGTGTGCCGGCCGCAGCGCGCCGGCCGCAGCGGCCATTGGAGGGTGAACCAACGGCAAAGGAAGACCTTTCTCTCTGTCTCTCTCTCTCACTGTCCACTCTGCCTGTCGAGAGAAGAAATATATTATAGTAACACCTTCTCTCGAAATTAAAAAAAAAAAAAAACTAGAGTGATTTTTTTTGAAGATTTATTTTATTTTATTTATTTGAAAGACAGAGTTACAGAGAGAGGTAGAGACATCTCAGATTTTAATTCTAGAACTGAAAAATAAGCAATCAAATGCTTGAATAGACTAGTATGGAGAAGTAGAGAATCAAAAATTTAGTAGAAAGCTCTGAATTTTTATATAAGAAAAACACAAATGATTTATATTTCAAATCATGTTGTTGGCCCTTTAACAGTATTTAGAAAGGAGGCCTTTATGGCCCTTTGGAAAGAAATGCTGCAGGCAGTACTCGCAATAAAACTTAAAACATCATGATTAAAGAAAGTTGAACTTCAGAATTTGATAACAGCACTATTCTCAAAGTAAATGCAAACTGGTCTAAGAATTCTGCTCAAGTTTCCTAATTTAAATGTTTTCCTCTTTTGTTGAAACACAGAGACCTAGGAAGAACAAAGCTTTTTTATTTCAAAGCTTCCAAAAGAATGTCATCTGCTTTTTATAGTTCCCATGAATATTAATTTTCATTCCCAAAGATATGAGTTAGTCAACTGACATGAAAAGAGGGCTTCACTGATTAAAGAAAAAAGAAAAAGAGTCTTTCAAGAATCAAATGTCATGCAATTTTCTCAAATACCTGAAATTTTTACAAATGGGAAAATATTCTTTACAGATCAGTATGAATACTTAAACTAAAAATACTTAAACTAAAATATTCTTTACAGATCAATATGAATACTTAAAAAACTAAAAATCTTAAAATATAGCCTAACAGCTGAAGCAAACTGTCAAACACCCACATTTCTTATTGTGTATTTCTTTAAACTTTACATCAAAATATGAAGTATTAGCATTGTCACTCTTTTCCTAATAGCTACCAACAATAATCTCCTAAAATACTGAAAATGTATAAAAGCCTGTTTACAGTTCAAGTATTTCTTTTCCTGGCTATAAAGGCTAGTGTCAATATTAAAACATTTAGCAACTCAAAATGTATATAGTGTTAGAATACTCCAGCATTTATTCCGTATCTTGATACACTAATTCTCTCCCTCACACACACACACAAGCACAAAATATAGAAAAATATAAATTTTCACTGTACATAAGCTTCTATTTACTTATACCTTCATTTTATAGGAGTGTGAAAAAGATATAAATTTTTATAACTAAAAGGTATTTGATCTTAATTTTAGACATACTATCAAATTTATGTTGTCTATGATTTCCTTCATTTTACTAAGTGTACTTGTTAATGGCATTCCTTTTTGCTTTTGTTTTTTTTAAGTATCTACATCAAACTGGTAACTGATGCTGACTTTATAGCTAACCAACTGTTTTCTTTTTTTCTTAAATAATGCTAACACTTCTTTATTTGGTGTTTGGACTTGGAAATACAAGTGCAGGAAATGTATCACTGCTAAATTTACATGGTTAGATTCAATATTTGGTCTTAATATATAAAGATCTTTTAGTATCCTGACTTCAATAACTATTTATTACTCCTCCTGGAATTGCAAAGAATATTAGAAATAAAACCAAACTCGAGCTTTCACTTTACCATGTTCTCGCCATATTAACTTGGACAAGTGATTTAACCTCCAAAACTCAAGTTTTTATCTGTAAAACAGAAATGCTATATTCCAACAGAGAATTACTATGAAAGTTAAGTGAAAATGATGACTGTGAAAGAGCTTTACAATTAATGGTATAAAAAAGAAGAACATAATACAAACCTGCCTAACATTGTATTTGGCTGCGCAGTAAAAATGGATGGGTCTACAACAAATCTAGTGTTATCCACTATTAGCGTTACTCGTTCTGATGTTCTTACACTCCGTGCTCCTTCTTTTGCATTTTCATATACAAAAACCATCTCTCCAGATGTCTTACAGCTACCATCTGAACTTGACTGACTACTGTTTCTGCTGCCATTCCCAGTACTACTGATGGAACCATTGGGCGATGCCTTTTGAGGACGAGGACTGCTTGGACGAGAGGAACTGTGATCTTTTTCTCGTTCTGAAATAAAGATGTTAAAGTTATGCAAATTTTTAAAAAATATTCAATCCCTGATATATCTTTTAAATTTACAGAAGCTGTTTTAAATCACTATTTCTGTTTTGATTTCAGATAATATTATCACAGAATGCCATAAACATTAATTTATTTTCCAGTATTAAAACTCAAGACATCAAAACGTTTTTACATCTTTATTTGTAGATTTTTTTTTTAAAAAAGCATAGCTGACTAGGGACTGGGACTAAGATAAAAAAATTAAAGCAAATGTTATACTCCACTAAAAAATATATAGAAACCCAAGGGATCAAGTATTATAAGTCCAATAGGCTTAATTTAAGTTAGTAACAGATTACTAAGAATACCAATTTAAACTGTTTTAATTACTGAAGTGGGTAATTTTATTCTGAAAACACAAACTTTAGAGTCTTACTATGTTAATAAAGGCATTCTAAAACCAGCAATTTATCACATTCACAAAAGAAAGGTCCAAAAAAAAAGAAAAAAATTTCACTAATGGCCGGTGCTACGGCTCACTTGGCTAATCCTCTGCCTGCGGCACTGGCACCCCAGGTTCTAGTCCTGGTTGGGGCGCTGGATTCTGTCCCGGTTGCTCCTCTTCCAGTCCAGCTCACTGCTGTGGCCCAGGAGTGCAGTGGAGGATGGCCCAGGTCCTTGGGCCCTGCACCCACTTGGGATACCAGGAGGAAGCACCTAGCTCCTGGCTTCGGATCAGCACAGCGTGCCAGCCGCAACATGCCAGCCATAGCAGCCACTTGGGGGGTGAACCAACAGAAAAAGGAAGACCTTTATCTCTGTCTCTCTCTCTCTCACTGTAACTCTGCCTGTCAAAAAAAAATTTTTTTTCACTAAGGACCAGAAAAAACTATTTTGCCCACCAAATAAAGTGCTCTAACAGCTGATGATCTACTGCTTTTTCATTCTCATTTTTGTTATATAAAGCACTGCTACAAATTTTAAATGATCTATAATTACTGTCTATGTCTTTTACAGATTAAAATACAATTTTTGTTCACATATTCCAATATTCTATCAAAAGAAAATAAAGACTAAGATTTTATGCTAAGTTTCATTTAGAAGCTGGAACACAAAACTTTAAAGGTGACCTAAAAATGTACCTCCATCTCATCAGTTTCATCAGCTTTTGCCAAATTCCTCCATGACTCAGGCTACTCGGAACACTCTGTACAGCATTACTGATTATATAATTAGGTTTTGCTATATCTCCAGAGATACTCTGACACTCCCCCCCCCCTTCTTTTTGCCTGTTTGCACAATGATGGTAGACTTCCAAAAGCAAAATTTGCTAAAAGTAATAACATAGTTTATTATATCCTGCAATTCTACTGCCAGACACTAAACTAACAAACTGTTAACTCTTATTTATACTTATTTAATATCTGGTTTATAAATACTAATCTGTTTTCAAGGATCTACTTAAATATTGACAATTTCTCTGCATTACTAATAGACACTAATATAAATGAATTTGATTTACAATAGACTATAAGAACCTCTTCCTAGGGTAAACTGAAGTATTTCATTTGCCCCCTCCCCAGGAGAAAATGAAAATCAGCAAGCTCACATTCCTTCAGCACCTCTGTTTCAGACTAGTGCTTGACAGTCACACAATGTATTCACCTGGAGTAATAACGTTCATTTATAGTAATAAGTAGGAAGAAGGGGAAATACTTGAGTTAGCTGCTAAAAAAAAAATTACACACCTCCTCATTCATCTTCTATTTTTATTAAATTTGAAATATTCTTAAAAACCAAAGTCAATAACTCTATAATGGTTATTCCAATTTTTACTTTCTTTATAAGAGATTTTTATTAACAATTTACTACAAATTATTTTAAAATAAAATATTGCAATATACACCTTGTTTTTATAAAGTCTTTTTTTTTATTTTATTTATTTTATTTTTTGACAGGCAGAGTGGACAGTGAGAGAGAGAGACAGAGAGAAAGGTCTTCCTTTTGCCGTTGGTTCACCCTCCAATGGCCGCCGCGGCCAGCGCGCTGCGGCTGGCGCACCACGCTGATCCGATGGCAGGAGCCAGGAGCCAGGTGCTTTTCCTGGTCTCCCATGGGGTGCAGGGCCCAAGCACCTGGGCCATCCTCCACTGCACTCCCTGGCCACAGCAGAGAGCTGGCCTGGAAGAGGGGCAACCGGGACAGAATCCGGCGCCCCAACCGGGACTAGAACCCGGTGTGCCGGTGCCGCTAGGCGGAGGATTAGCCTAGTGAGCCGCGGCGCCAGCTGCAATATACACCTTCAAAGATAAAAATTAACTTGAGAAATCCATAGGCCAGTTTGAAATGCATTTTAGTTACTTCATTTATATTATTGCCCTAGACTTTAAAAAAAGTTCACCTTTAAGTTACATTTAATAAGATGTTTTTTCACAACAAGAACCAAACTCTGCTAAAACAGAAACAACCTAATAGAAAGTAATTTTACTCTGAAGTATTAGGCACATTTCAGTGTCACTACCACTTTAAAAAGGTAAACCCATAGCTCTTAAGAACCACTGAGCAGACTAGATGATTTTACATACCAACATGGTGCTGTCGTGTTGGAGAAGTAACATTTCTAATACAAGGAGTAAGCTGAGACTCTGTTCTTTCATGTGATGAATCTCGCGATCTGTCACTTGACCTTCGTCTATCTCTTGATCGCTCATGCCCCCCACTAGCACCATGTAGACTCATTTTGGTGTGGTCCACTCCTCCTTTAGCAACACGCGAAGGGGTACTGGTAAGTTAGAAAAAAATTCACAATTAAAATAGAAAGATCAGATCACAAAATCGTTTTAAAGAAAGACACGATTAACAGAAGGTATCATAACATTTTTAAGTAAAAAAATAAAATGCTACTTTCCAGTTCTGAAATATAACATACCTCAAACTTTTAGGTTTCATGAATCCTGGAATAATGGGTTTGTAGAGATCACATAATAGAACTCATTTTTTAAGATGAGGAAACTAAAACCCTAAAAGGTTAACTGACATTTGAGTTAGAAGTACAAGTATAAGTTAACAGTAGATCACTCAGATATTCCAAATATTACTCAGTATTCCTTTTGATTTCTTTGATTGTGGAGGAAAAAGAGGTGGGAAGCATATCAGCTTTTAGAACATTAAAAAACTAAAGTACAGGGCAAAGTAATTGGTCTCCCTGCTAAGTAAATTTACATGCCAACTTCAATCAACTCACTTTGAGAAGTCTTTTCAAAACACTGTTAATTTTTAAACAAAAATTTTGAAAAATATCTCTCTGAAAATTTTAACTGCACTGACTGCCTAGATAAAGTCAAGGGACTTTAAAACATCTTACAGAGTAAACAGGTCCACAAGAAGTAAAATCTCTCTCTCTCTTTCTCTCTCTCTCTCTTTCTCTCTCTCTCTCACACACACACACACACAGAGAAAGTAAAATCATTGAGAATGTTAATTAAAATAGTCTAAATTCATTCACACAATTATTTACATGTACTATGTGTACAACACTGCTAAATGTCAATAGAAGAAGCTCCTTCATGAGCTTATGATCTAAGCATAGCAGTAATACATGAACATGTAGCAATTTTCAGGAGTTATCTCATCTTCCAAATATAAAGCTACTACATATATCCCAGTTATATAACTACTGAGTGAGTGAGAGATGCGTTAGGAACTCAGCACAAGATGACATTGCTATACATCAGAGTTAATACTAGTCCAAAAGGCCCTGACAAATAGACAAGATTTCAATAATCAGAATACATTGCAGGTTAGAAAATTGATGGTTATACAAATGAGAGCACCAGACACAGGCAAATCAGAAATTTACCATGTTAGCATACATAATGGCTCATAGTTTAAAGTTACTTAATTTTTTTTTAAGAAACATAAGGAACTTCATCAATTTAGGATTATAAATGCAATCAAATTGTCCTTTAATACTAAACTTGACATTTTGAATGTTATTTAATATTTTGGAACCTTGGTTTCCCATCTGTAAAATGTAGATTCTATTTACCTTTGAAGGTTAACATGAGGATTAAATAAAGTGTATTAAGTAAGTTAACACGAGGATTAAATGTGAACTATAAGTAAACTGATCAGCTGCCACAATATAATCTACCCATTAAATGTCAGTTTAATTGTCACATCATATTTAGTGGAAATCCTCTATCATTTAAGCTTTTTGGTTCATCCTAGTGCCTCCTCCATAATATTATACTCTCACCTTTACCAAAATCATACTAGTTAATATTTCAATTTTTTTTTTTTTGAGAAACAAGGAGAGATCTCCCATCTCCTGGTTTGCTCCCCAAACGCCCACAACAGCCAGGGCTGCGCCAGTACTAAGTTAGGAGTCAGGAATTTAACTCTGTTCTCCCATGCGGGTAGCAGGAAACCAAATATCTGAGCCAATACCTGTTATCTCCCCAAAGTGTACATTAGCAAGAAGCTGGAATATTGAGACTGGAACTGGGATTTAAACTCAGACACTACAATATGGGATGCAGGTTATCTCAAGCAGTGCTGTAACTGCTATGCCAAAGATCCATCCCTAAAATTTAATTTTCTTAGTGACTTAGAAAGTTTTAAATCCTTCAGTGTCTCAGGGTCATCTCTTTTGTTGGTTTATTAGCTATAAGCCTTTTCATCATTTTAGTAGTTTTTTCATTATGAAAACCAATCATCACCTTGCTATAACATGGAATACAAGAACTTTGTATTTACGCCAAAAGTCACTTCTAGAAAAATTTAAGAAAAAAAAAAAAAGCTATGAGCCTTTATCAGTCATTTGTCTCTCATAAACATACAGAGAAAAAATTCCACTCCCATCTACTTTCTGGCAAAAAAAAAAAAAAAAAAAAATTCACATGATTGTATCTTCGAAAGATAATCTTTCTTCATATAGAAGAAATCAAAAGATCCTAAAGCATTTATGTTTAAAAACCTCAGAGTAGGAACAATGGAATTACTGGTTCATTTTCTTAAGTAGGAAAAAGAAAAAGAACCCATATTAATAAAACAAGGATCATACACAGGAAAAAAATAATTTCAAATTATTCTGGTTGCTAAGTTGTAAACATTTTCAACTATATTTTCTAAATGTTTGTCTGCTAATTTAATGAATACGGAATAAACACAGCTACAACTAAAGCAAATGGAGAGTAAATGCTCAGTTTGAGCAAGAGCCAAGTAGACTGATTAATTGAAAAAGCATTTCCACTAGACACCTCAGTAGCTTAGACACTGCTAAGCATTCTGCTGAAATATTGGCTTCATTTCTAAACTGCTTATACTTTAAATGAATGCAAAAAGTGTCATAATATACTTCTACTTACTTTCTTTTCACTCCCAAATAGTTATGTGCCTGGAACCTGATCTCAAAATCAGATGTCAGAGAAGACTAATTATGTCCTACTCTGCTTAATTAAATAATTTTAGATCAGTGAAGCACTCTAAAGATAAAAATAATTAATATGTGCAAAAGAAAATGAGGATGCGCAGGTTTAAAAGGACAGTTCTGCTTTAGGGTACATTTAAAAGGATGTGAGAGACATGAATTGAGGACAGGTAAGGAGATGAAGAGTAAATCAACCCCAATTCCTGCTTCCAGCCATGACAGAATAAGGACTGTATTTTACTTACTTTCCTAAAATAATTAAAAAAAAAAAGAATATGAAACAATTTTTTTTTATTTTTATTTTTTACAGGCAGAGTGGACAGTGAGAGAGAGAGAGAGAAAGGTCTTCCTTTTGCCGTTGGTTCACCCTCCAATGGCCGCCGCGGCCAGCGCGCTGTGGCCGGCCGGCGCACCACGCTGATCCGATGGCAGGAGCCAGGTGCTTATCCTGCTTATCCATGGGGTGCAGGGCCCAAGGACTTGGGCCATCCTCCACTGCACTCCCTGGCCACAGCAGGGAGCTGGACTGGAAGAGGAGCAACAGGGGCAGAATCCAGCGCCCCGACCGGGACTAGAACCAGGTGTGCGGGCGCCGCAAGGCGGAGGATTAGCCTAGTGAGCCGCGGCGCCGGCGAAACAATGGTTTTTCAAGACACAATACAGCAGTAAATGAAGAAGAGTAATCCCAATTTCCACGGTAAGCACAAAAACAGGAAACTCAGGGAAACCCAGTGGACTCTTAAATTAAAGATTCAGAGCTGAGATACTGGAATAGGTGGCCAGAGTCCTCAGAAGAGGACTAGAGAGGAGAAGTAGCACAGAGAGAGAACATTTGAGAGATAAGCAGTCTTCCTTGAGTATTCAACTAAATATCAGAAGTAAATACATACAAGGAAACTACAAGAGGGTAGGGAAAGAAACCACTCAAAGGATTCAAGGAAACAATGTCCAGCACACACACAGAGCCAGTAATAGAGTCTCTTTCCATAAAACACAGTGAAAAACCTCATAATGTATATGTAGGACATGGAAGAGAGAGCCAGGCAAGTCCTGATTCCAAAATAATAAATAATTAGACCCAGAGTCAACACTGCTTTAGTCATACCTAACCAATTTTAACTTGACCTGAAAGCATCAAATTGTTTCTGAATAACTGAATAAAAAACAAAGCTCAAGAATATTTGTAGGAATAAAACATATCAACTCTGACAAGGAAAAATTCATAATGTATGACATGCAATCAAAAATAACCAAGCACAGGAAAGTCAGCTTGGTGAAATGGGTTAAAAGGTACCCCTTGGGAAATCTGTATTCCATAACAGAGTACTTGGGTTCAAGTCCTGACTTTCCTTCCAATCCAATCCATGTTAATGTGCCTAGGAGGCAGTGGATGATGGCCCAAGTTGGGATAAGAGAGATTGGGGGGAGGGGAGGGGACCTAGATGTAGTTCCTGGTTCCTGGCTGTGTTGGGACCCAGCCCTAGCTGTTGTGAGCATGTGGGAAGTAAACCAATGGATGGAAGATCTTTCTCTCTGATTCTACTTTCTCCCAGTCACTCTTTCAAATAAATAAATGAAACTTAAAAATGACCAAGTACTATGTAAAGAAGCAAGAACACGTAATTGATAAGGGGAAAAAATCAACTGAAATGAAGCCAGAACTGACATATATGTTAGAATTAGAAACAAAGGCATTTGGCTGGTGCTATGGCATAGCGGGTAAAGCTGCTGCCTGCAGTGCCAGCATCCCATATGGGCGCTGGTTCAAGACTAGGCTGCTCCACTTCCAATCCAGCTCTCTGCTATGGCCTGGGAAAGCAGTGGAAGATGGCCCAAGTCCTTGGGCCCCTGTACCTGCACGGAAAGACCTGGAGGAAGCTCCTGGCTCCTGGCTTCAGATCGGTGCAGCTCCGGCTGTTGCGGCCAATTGGTGAGTGAACAAGTGGATGGAAGACCTCTCCCCACCGCCCCCCCTTCTCTCTCTGCCTCTCCTTCTCTAACGCTTTCAAATAAATAAATCTTTATAAAAAAAAAAAGGCATTAGAAAAGTCATCATAACCGTATTCCTCCAAAAAATTACACAGAGAAATAGAAGACAAAGACACAAATTAAATTTCCAGAAATAAAAATGAGACAAAAGGGGCCAGTGCTGTGGTTTAGTGACTAAAGCTGCCGCCTGAGGTGCCAGCAACCCATATGGGCACCGATTCGAGACCTGGCTACTCCACTTCCGATCCAGCTTTCTGGTGTGGTCTGGGAAGGCAGTGTAATATGGCCCAGGTCCTTGGGCTCCTGAACCTGCATGGGAAGACCTGGAGGAAGCTCCTGGCTCCTAGCTCCGGATTAGTGCA